ACGTGGCGGCGGCAACAACAATACTACAGCGAGAATATAAGTTACGCCTTCTTTCTTTGCGTGAACGTTTGGGCGGCGTTATGCAAATCTTCCGAGATCGTGAGGTAGATATGTGGGGGCGTGTTAGAACGAGCCGTTTTAGGTAGGTGTGGCTGACTCTTAACTTTTATAAAGAATATCTCTTTGGATTTGAGACTTTAGTCTTTGCAACTTTACAGATCTTCTTTATGCACCAAGAGCTTGTAACACTCCAAAGAGAAAGGAAAAATTGAAATCGCATCATATGACCCCTTTAAGACTGTGACATCTACTGAGGCTCCATCTCAGTAGTTAAAGGCCACTACTTCTGTTATTATAAAGCATTATCAAGAGAAGGGAGATGTGGTGTGTAAATGCATATTCTGTGATTGTTTTACAATACCATGTTTTGGCTACTTTGATGCTTATTGTTCACATTTGAAATATTGATTGAACACTGGAGTAAGGTTACCATCCTGAAGCATTTTAGACACAAAAAATATATAGCAATGATCACACACACACAAAATAATGCAAGCACACACATTTTTGACAAATGTATACTGAAGAAACAGAAAGTCTCCCTTGCAAGTCTTATGATTTTATGTAACTAAACAATCTCTTATAACAGACTCTCATTATTGCACTCCTGGCGTCTGACTAGACATTCCTCAAACCTGGATGGTCATGACAGAGGTTTTAAAGTTTGAATGACCTGTTTTTACTAGGCTTGCCGCGATAGACGGTGCTGACGGTGATACCGGTGTTAAGCCGCAATACTAATACTTACTTTCCTCTCTGTCTTTATTGAGATGAGAACATTTGGCAGCAGATATTCAGGACTGAGGGAGCAGTAGAATGTGATCACTCCAGCCAGAAACAACCAGAATATCATGAGAATATGGAGATACCTGGAAAAAGTGGAAAGATAACATATAAGACACATAACTGCATGCCGGGAAATACATTTGTTAATCACCAATCATAACAGGGATCAAAAAACCTTGATGGGCACTATAAGTGGAATTTAGAGAAAAAAATATATAATGCTGCAGTCAGAATATGTCTTGATTAAATGTGTGTCAAGATACTCACTGGTTGAGGATGATGGTGGAGGAGATCATAAAGGTGAAGATACAGAAAATGACCGGATATTGACGAGCAACATCCTTAAACACATGTAACCGCAGACCTCTCCTCACACACCCCAGAATGGAGTGAGGGTCTGACATTATATCTAAAACAAGAGAAGCAATCAGAAAGTATCACACCACGCTTATTGTTTTGGTACAATATTGGGCTTATATTTGATATTGTGTATCCTGGTACTAAATTACCGTATTCATGTATTTACATGCTAACGTTACAATTCCGAAACAATCATGATACTACCATGGTACCATCTGCTAAACAGAGTAATACCATAGTACTATACCAATATATATTTTATATACGTACACTAACACGTAGAAAAGATCAAATATTATCATATTCACATGGTATTTACATGATCCTCTAAAGTACCTCAAAGTAAACAGCAGTGGATTGATGATAGTCTGATAATCTTAACCTGCAGATGTGTAAACAGTGTAAATTACACTGAAGTATTTGCTATTAAATGACCGTTTAAGCGCGACGTTATAGTTCTCTCACCTCACAGACGAAGCGCAGGTCTGATATAAACTCAAAAAACATGTCAACACATCCTGACACGAATGTTTTGATCGTTCAGCTGATCGTTTCACATGATCTGATTAGTTACTGATCATTACGCGAGCTGCACTTCCGGGTTTAACGTGAAGGCTGCCGTCGTTTTCAAAATAAAAGTCCGGCCTCTGACTGAACAAATAGCGATTCTCTCATGGGATCAAGATATTAATTCACTAACATAATCATAACGTAATGTATGTGTAATTGATCATTCATTCATAATAGCTGTGGTTGCCGCGGTTTATCATCTGCTCGCAGGCTGAGGCTCGAGCCAAAAAAAACATCTACACTCATGAGGCACTTAGTCGCATTCCCACAGACAGTCATGATATCTCTTTACAAATATGAAAAAATAATCACCACTTTTCACTATTTTGGGCTCTGGAAGTGCTTGCTTCAGAAAATGGGATTTGTCCATCTCATTAAATATAAGCTGTTTTTCAGAATTTGCTGTTACCAAAATGTGTTCGAGTATATTAAAACCCTGATATGTGTAATGAAACATGTTATTATAATGTGTAATATATAAACATATTAATGAAATCCTTAAAAATGAGAAAAAATTGAAATACGCCAAAATGGGAACATGGTACAGGGTTGCAGATTTAGCCTAAATTAGCAGGTAGTTTTATACAAAATGTTGGTTTATGTTAAACTTATGCATATATATATTTATTTATATATCATTTATCACTGTAAACAAAGTTAATATAATAACTTGTATATAAAGCTATCATATTAACTTTGGTTACATTGAGGTAGCCATATGAAATAATAGTTTTTCTTACATATTAATTGTTTCTTTCTTTCTCTTTTTCACCAAAGAACATGGGATTTCAGATTTTAAAACTTTAAAAGATTTTGTATACCAGTGATTCTCAATAACCACACAAGGGGGCCTCAGCGAACCTCTAATGGGGCTGCAATTCTATTCAAATCTAACAATAAAAGGACATGTCTTGCTTAATGTCTGTCTAAATTCTGCAGAGATATTATTAGTTAGAAATCTTAACATTTGACATCCAAGATGCATGGACAATGAAAGTGCTTAATGTACTAAATAAGCAACCAGCTTTCTCTCACACTTCACTTGTCACGAACACTAAAAGTAGATCTATGGTCAAAGCAACAACACCATGATATAGACAATATTTGTATGTTTACCGAGTTATTTCTCTGTGGTAAAAAGCTTATTGTAAAACTTCTCAGCTCACTTTTTATACGTAAACATTATTTATGACTTGGACTGTCTCGGGCCTGTCTCAGCACATTAAAACCACGTCAAGTGCTTTTCTTATAATGCCTGTATGGAGTTTAAGGCTTGACAGAAATGCTGTGTTCCACGGTTGTTGATCTGAATATCAAGCTGCGTTTCGCTGTTTACTCATAATGGATTTCTGAAAAAATGAGAGCGTGAAAGTAAGAGAAAAAGTGCTTAATGTAAAAAATATTGTCTTTCACCTTGGGTTATGTTGTCATTCCTCTGCAGATAGTGGCAGTGGATCGTGTTTATGACAAGAGTGAGAGAAATTTGGAATGTTCTAGTACATTAAACATCAAACTACAAGTTTTTCAAATGAAGCGTGTAGCATATCTCCCGGCGTTGTGCACAATCACTGGCCATGGAGCCAACAACACCCTGCTGTTACATGGACACACGCATTTCATCAGATGCATATGCCATGTGTTTACTATTTCACTGAAGATGGATTAAAATGATGGTAATGTTCATCTTAAAATGTTTATTTGTTACATTTCTTTGTTAATGCTGTTACAGTGGGATGTTTCATGTCAGATCCAGATCAAGTCATCAGGGATCAGTTTGTCATGATAACTCTACATTATCCTTTACATAAAAATGGATAAAAGAACTGCATTTTTCACACACAAAAAAACAACAATGCATTGCCTCTGAAGTTAATCATTGCTTTCTGTGTAACTAAGAACTGTGATTATCCACTAGAGGGTACCAGAGACATTATCAATATGTGCAACATGGTCTGGGTCTGACTCCATACTGATTTGACACAATGATTTGCAGTTTTAAATAAAAGTATCCCAATACACAGTTTAGGTCAGAACTGGCTTTATTAAAAAAAAAAAAAAAAATTGTGATACATAAGTGTGCAAGCAGCTTCTGCATTTTAAGACATCACTTCGAGACAGATTTTTTCAAGAACTACTTTGGGACAAAAGCCACTGTGACGTTTTATGATTTCTAAGCTTCAATACTTAAGTAGATACATTTCAGGTAAAGGTAGTTAGAATGCACCTTTTGAACAGTGCAAACAAAAAGCACCACTACACCATTTCACGGTTTAAGGGATATTACTAAACAATCATGATATGTACATTTCAACTGTTTGTTAATTACCTACAAGATTACATACAAATTTTGATGAACAAATATTTATTTTTAGAATTTTGATTTTTCTCTGGGCTTTGTGCATATTGTGAAATTAATTTTACTTTACATCTTTACTTTACACAGAAATGCATCATAAGAATGACAAAATAAAAATGAACAATCAGATTTAAATCCGACAGTTATTTCAAGTCACTGTATTATCTGTGACGATAAACCACAATTACAGGTTTTACAATCTTGTAAAAATGTTTTTTTCCTGACGCTCACAACAATAACACTAAAGCATCATGTAACGGACCAGATATATCTTAGTAAATGAGATTAAATAAAGTTGTTAACCTAACAAATGTCCTCACTTTTCTTGCTTTCATTATTCATGTACTGAGGAGCGACAGAACTTGCTCCTCTTATAATACTTTCATTTTCATAACATTTCTTTCATTGGCAAAACAAGACATCTCAAAAACAGAGAGACTCTTATCTTTGTCGTTTATCACAATGATGCTGGATACACTAAATCACCACAGAGCTTTACACATATTTACATAGATACCAATGTATGTGCATATATATATATATATATATATATATATATATAATTTTATTAAAAAGATCATTAGCCCCTTATTCCCATGTGAGAAGATATCATTGTTCAAAAAACAAAAATTCAAAGTATAAAAATATAGTAAACTTTCATAAAGCACGCACAACATCCACACGTTACAATTAAATATAAGGGCAAACTGTTCAAAAAACAAAAGTTCAAAGTATAAAAATATAGTAACCTTTCATAAAGCACGCACAACATCCACACGTTACAATTAAATATAAGGGCAAACAACAACAACAACAAAGCCCCAACAAATTCATTTACTGGGTGGGAACCTCTTCTGAGAGAAAACAAAAAAAAAATCAAATTTGGCACTTAAGCAATGAAACGTCATAGTGAACACTTAATCAAACCAGTGGTAACTTAAGCAGCTTTGTGTTTTGAACTTTATGCATGGATACTTGCATGTACCTTTCCATGACCGGCAAGTAAACAGACATTCTTTAAAGACGAGGTGCAGCCGAACAACACCCCGCGGTACAATCAAACAGCTTCAGCCGATGTCTCCGCTGAGACGGACATTGTCAATTTGGCTATTTTCACAGTGGTCTTCACACAGCTCTCGGCCGCACGCTTGGCGGTGATGTGCTGGTTCCTCTGACAATCTGACTCCAGGCTGTTGTCCAGCTGCAGGGTCGTGCTGGAGGTGCTCCTGCAGCCCTGGCAGGTGGCAAGGAAGGCCCTCCGGAGGTCTTTACTCCTGAGAGCGTAGATTATTGGGTTAATGGTGGAGTTGAGCAGGCAGAGCATAGTACAGAACGCAAACACTGTCTTAATGTTGTCATCCATCCGCCAGAACAGATCATACACCATGATCGCCAACAGAGGCCCCCAGCAGATCACCAACACCGCCAGGATCAGAACCAGCGTTTTGGCCAAGCGGATGTCCATGCGAACCTGATCCGGCCTGGCGGTCTGGACCTTGGTGCCGTCGGAGGAGTGGACCACCAGGCTCTTCTGAGACGTGCGCCGCAGCATCCTCACCGCGTGGTGGTGGGCCTTCCAGAGGATGTACATGTAAGCGTAGATAATGAAGATGACCAGAACGCTGGTCACGCCGATCCAGAACATCAGGTAGTTCTCGTCGATGAGCGGAAAGATGTCAGAGCAGACCGAGTTGAGCTGCTTGCAGTTCCAGCCCAGCAGCGGCAGCACGGCGATGATAATGGAGATCGCCCACATCATGCAGAAGGCGATCACGGCTTTGGTGCGCGTCACAATGCGCCTGTACGCCAGCGGACGGTGGATAGAAATGTATCGATCGATGGCGGTGAGGAACAGGCTTCCCACAGACGCGGTGAACGAGGCCGTCACACCCCCTAACTTGAACAGAAACACGTTCGGACTGTCTTTGCGGTGAAAGACGTGAAAGTCCAAGAAACTGTAGACGAAGATCACGCTGCCAAGCAGGTCTGCGATGGCCAGGCTACCAATGAAATGGTAAGATGGCCTGCAGCGCAGGGTACGTGACTGCAGTATCACGCACAGGACCACAAGGTTCTCCAATACTGTAAAAGTCCCCAGCGTGAGAGACAACACTGCTATGGCGAGCTGTTGGCTAGGAGTCAGTATCATGAAGCATTCCATGTCCATAAAGTTCTCCCCGCACTGCAGACTGCTCCCTTCATCTCCGAGGCTGAAGTTCCCAAACACGTCAGAGCTGTTCGTGGGGTAAAAGGGCAAACCTTTTACGATGAGTTCCTCATTTGGTCCCACTTTATCTGCGAAAGAGCTTCTGCGGTAGGCTGCGAACGGCTTCGGCAGTGGGTATCCGCTTTTGGCGCTTTTGATGTGGTCATCATAGCCGACGTCGTTAGAACCAATGTACTGCAGTCCAGAAGTGATGGTTCTGAAGGTGGTTTCTGCCACTCCATCCAGAACGGATTTAACATCGGACTTGGAGGCAGGGAACAGCATGGTCACAGATGCTCTGAAGGAAACCTGTTGGATGAAATTGAGAGAATGTATGTTCAAATAAGACTGACCGAGGCATATGGAAGAATACAGAGAATATTGTGCTCTCAGAAGCTCAATCGGTGCTGCACTGGGCACAGAAATAAATGCCCTCTCAGACGAGCCATCATACGGCTCTTGTATTTTGCGCTTGTTGTTTTTCTTGCATGGATGGGCACCTAGGGATTATTACTCTAAGAGACAGGCTTTGAATAATTGATGCCGACAGACTTAAACCTAAAACACCATACATACAGTTATAAAGCAGCGGGCAACTTAGACACAGCCTTATATTGGAGAGAAAAACAGCTTCTTCTTTTTTTCAATCTCATATATAGACTCAACTGAAATAACTATCAATTAAAAGTATAAAATATATATGATTTATAGTTAGAAATTCAAATATATGATAAACTCAGAATATAATAATAACTAATAACATTATAGGATAGTGTGTGCGACTCTGTGTATATTTAACTGTAATGTACACTATCACCCGTGCGCTCGTATCAGTGTGTTTTGAATCATTATTCGGCAAAAGAAGTTCAATTCCGTTTTTATATTTAGTATCGCAACATGTGTGTCAGAGAACTTCACAGCAATTCATTTGGTATTTAATATTTAAGACCACTGCACTGCGAGACGCATTGTAGATGAAAACTGCTAACTTTTCTATTTGTGCTGAAATAAGCGATGCCACAGAGTTCACCTAAAGCGTTCTATAGCGTTATAATGCCGCTGCAATTGAATTTAATAAAAGACGAAATGCATCAGGTTGCTAGAGTTGAGAAATGCCGGTTTTTTTACCTTCACATAGTTGGCGCAGGTGTTCCTCTCTGTGCGAACAGATGAGATGCTCTCCAGCTCCACCGCAGCCCGAGCTCTGAGGGAGAGCTCTCTGAGTTTGCAGAGTTTGCAGGGAATGAGATGCTCTTCTCCTCAGTGCGCATCATATATGACTCATCCCATGTCACATGACCACCCACATACACGAGCATCTTTAATGTCAAAAATGAAAATAACTCAAAAGTGCAATGTATGTGTTGGGAGGTGGTTAGGCTTGGTTGGCATATCTCCTCCTGATTTCACGAATTGTTTTATAAATTGGACAGGCAAAAGTTAGGACATTTTTAGACAGAATTGGAAAATGCAAAATTGCTACATTAAATAACTTTAAACAAAGAACAGATTATACAGCATTTATCCTTGTGAAAAAAAGAGTAGTATATGGAGTCGTACATTGCATTAGCATTACATTACAACAGTATATTGGCAGTATTCCAAAAATACATAAATACACTCTAAAAAATGCTGGGTTGTTTCAACCCAACTTTGGGTCAAATATGGACTAACCCAGCTGTTGGGTTACATTTTTACATAAAATTTTTAACCCAAAAGTTGGGTTAGTCCATATTTGACCCAAAGTTGGGTTGAAACAACCCAGCATTTTTTAGAGTGTACACCACATAATTTAGTGATGCATCGATAGAATATCAAAAGCTTCTTTTTTAAAACCTTGGTCCTAGGCTGATATATAGGCTAGGCCTATCAATATCTATAATCTCACAACATTATAAACTAAAGACAAAGGTACGAGACTGTGTTCTTGGTCTTTCGAGCGAGAGAAAAAACGACAATACATTGAGAATGATATAACAAAATGTAAAAAGTTAGAAAAATATAAAACTGTTGATTATATACATATAGAAACAATATATTTGACTTCTATTTCAATATTATGCACAGGCATTTGAGAGTCTGCTTCATGGGAATGGGCGGGAAATGAAGTTTAACGTCTTCATCCAGTAGTGCTGTGGTGATGAGCACATCACCCAACACCCACCCCATCCTCAGCCCTAAATGTGTTTATTCAGCCTACACACAGATCCAACGCTGGAAACAAGACATGAACAATAACATGAATCTCACTTGTCAAGACTAAGGCACAAAGTGTAATTGTTGTTTGTCACAACATTTTAAGCAAATAAATGAGTCAAAGTTCCAACCCACCAGAGGAAACTTTTGTCCCACCCTGCACTAGTGTTCACAGAGACGGTCAGTCAAAAAAATGTCTAAACTCGATGTATTTTCTTAATTGTGTCAGCAGACATTGGAGGAAGATGTTTTGCTTGTGAACAGAAGGAAGCTGATCACCTGAAACACTGCAGGAGACATGAGAGTATCATCAAGGGAGAACCACAACGATCAGTTCTGCTCCCCTCCTTTAACCACTAAATGACACACATGTATTTGGTGGCTGCAAGGGGTCTAGCTTTAGCAAGAAATGGACAATCCGATAATGCAAGATTCAGGTGTCTTGATTGAGGGCACAGTATACCACAGCATGTGAATTTCACCTTGGTGACTACTGTAAGTCTTTTTTCTGGATATCTGAACGTAAAACTGCAAGGTTTTGGGATCTTGTCAGGGATGCTACTGTGCTGTTGAGTCATTATCTGCCTGAAGAAGTAGAGACCCATCCAATCCAGCTTACTACCTGTTATGGTGTCCTTTGGGTATCGACAGATTAGCCAATACAATGACGTCTTCACAAACAAATCAGGTTGGGCTACCATTATAGAACACAAAATCCTCACCCCCAAGGTATCATCTGACAGTGACCCTATGGAGCACTAGATGCCTACTGAGACAAGGATGCTACAAATGAGCTTAAATGGATAGTTCACCCATAAATTAAAATTCTGTCATTAATTACTCACCCTCATGTCGTTTCAAACCCGTAAGACCTTCGTTCATCTTCAGAACACAAATAAAGATATTTTTGATGGAATCTGAGAGCTGTCTGACTGTCTTACGGGTTTGAAACGACATGAGGGGGAGTAATTATTACAGAATTGTCATTTTTGGGTGAACTAACCCTTGAACAGGCTACTTGAAGCACTGAAATCTCCTAAGTAACTCATGAACCAACCCCTTTTGTCTTAACTAAAGGTTATTTTAAAGGGTTAACAGAACCAGATTCTGCCATTTACAAAGCATGCCTGTAACCTTTCAGAGAATGGGTGTGATTCTAAGAATCAGCTCGAACCCGTTACACCATCATCCACACTGAAAGCTGGGGCGATGACCACATTTTGTGTGACTCTGAAAGGTGCTGGATGAATTCTGCATGGCTCGATTCCCCATCTTGCAGACATCTTTGGCGTTGTGACAAATCAGGTCATCCCTCATAATCAAGTCTCCATTAACCATTAGTTAATAATTATATAAAGTGCACACAAACAACATTATTTTATGTATATAATAACTTACTATATCCCAGCTAACCGGGAACATTCGCACAGCAACTAATTAAAGTTTTTTTTTTAAGGACAAAACATTCTTAATGTTTATGGAACATTCTTATAACTTAATTAATATTTGATATACAGTACATTCTCACAACATTGAGATCCTTATGATATTATCTGTACTTGGTGAATGTTCTAAATGTTGAGAGAAAATGTTCTCGAATTGCCCTTGTAACCTTTAAATAACATTCTAATCATGACAAGAAAACTGGACATTTTAATGTCCTCAGAATATTTAAAATAAGCATATTTTGGGTGAAAATAAAGTTAGTAGAGCGTTGTAAGAAACATTTGTGTAACCTTTAAATGACGTTCTAATCACGACAAGAAAACTGGACATTTTAATGTTTTAGAAACATTTCAAAACAATGTTCCCACAACATTATTATAACCTATATTTGTTACCTAGGATAGTGCATAATAAAACAAATCTGACATTTTACTTTCTTTTACTTCATCAACTGTTAATAATTAATAGACTCCATCACTATCGCTACTGTGATCAAGACATCGCCAATTTAAAAGGCTGTAAGTGCACTTGACTTCATAGCATACTACATAGCTATAGCACTCCTTTCCATCATTTAATCGTTATATTGTGTTTGGTTAAAATAGACTAGAGGTGGTTAGTCAATAAGACCAGGATTTTTCACTGAAATACCACACACGCAAAAGTAGCATGATTTATTGAATGCCACCTAGGACTCTCCAATGTTTACCTGAGTTGGGACCAAAAGAAAGAGGCATAATAAAACCACAGGTATAAATAAAATTAGAAGCTCGCTGGAAAGTTCTGCAACCGTAAACAAAAAATCCTGCCCCCTCACCAACCTGACAAGCACAGCCAGAGACGTCTCAATCCGTGCTACAACAGTGCAGTTATATTCTATGAGTGGGTAACAGCTTTACCAATCAAACGGTGACTCACCAGCTCCCTGCTGTTTGGGCCTCTCTGGACGTGCATCCTGTTTTATGGAGGATCCTACTCACAGTGCTTCGTTCATTTGTTTTTGTGAACACAGAGCTTTACTGAACTGAAAGGTGCAATCTTTTTGAGAGTGTGGAGGGGGATTACTTGTTGCGAGTTATGCTTCAGCATTTCTCTTTATAGAACTTTATCGATTCTAATCATATATTTTGCCGTACAAGCAGATGAAATACCGTTCTGATTCTGAATACCAACACACATGCAACAGATTACCATGATCTGGCTTGCTTTACTGGAACTGTACTGCATTGCTCCATCACCGCGATACAGACACACCTGAATCGATTGGCTCGACTGCTGAAAGTGCATTTGACTAGATGCCACATCTCAGTCTGGTTATAACGCACTTCATCATTTGATCATCAGATTGTGCCTGGATGAAGTGGATTGCAAGTGTTTGGTCAGTAAGACGCAGATTTTTGTGCTGAAACATCACAGTATCCTGGCATAGGAGTGCTTTGAGTTGACTACTGTTGTCTATGCAAAAGAAAAGAAAACCTGCAGCAGGAATCGTCTAAACAGCCGATGATTACCAGAGCTGATACAATATGTGCACAGAGTATGGAGACAACTCTGTGAAGTCCTAGCTTAGCCCATCTGCCTCCCAGAAGACAACATTCTCACCTACTGTGCTGCATATGACTCTTCAAACTATCCTTTTCTCTCTCTCTCTTAATCTAAAATACAATAAACGGCATGACAATAATCATCACGTACTTGCTGTCATGGCAACCAGGCTGTTATTAATGAGATGTTCCTTCATCTTTGTTCCAAATGGCTGGGAATGAGATGGGAACTGTGTTCTTTGATGCAGTGAAACTGGCCGTCTCTATCTCATAATGATTCTGGCGGTGCTTTACAAATCCCTTAATCACACACACAGACATTACAAACTAATATTAACACACCTGTTGAGTTCCCTACGTTACCTCAGTCGTGACTGACGAATTGGGATCTCGCCCGAGAGCCCAATCACCTTCGAGTGTAAACTAAACAAGCCAATGACAGTTGGCGTGCGTGTTTCGCCACGCGCACCCCGCCCCGCAGCGCGGGTATCATTGGCTTGTTTAGTTTACACTCGAAGGTGATTGGGCTCTCGGGCGAGATCCCAATTCGTCAGTCACGACTGACGTAACGTCTCCGTTCCCTCCTTCAGGGAACGAGGGTTACACAAGTAACCGAGACGATATTCACTCTCTCCCTCACCGTGTCGCTCTCTCACACATGCAAATGACTAATGGTTAAGGTTTCTTGATGACTGCTAACTAGTTTTTGATCTCATTTTTAGAGTAGTTTTGACATAACCTGTCTATCACATTGATTTAAATAGGATAATCTTGTACTATATTGATATACAGTAAAAATACAAAGAGAAAGAAAATATATTCCAACAACATGAAATACATTAAACATTACATTATGTCAAGGTTTCCCAAATTGGGCTTCGTGAATTTAAACTTAACAATTAATTAAATTTAAAAAAAAACTAATAATTAACTAAATCATAAAAAATTTAAAATTTAAAATGTATCCACAAATCTGGAAGACTTTCTGAACGTATATAAGTGGTAGACGACTATAGAAAGTAAAATGAAAAAAAAATGAAAAAGAGGAATTAATAAAGAATCAATAAATTATAAAGAATTTATTGATAGTGTGTGAATAATTTGCAATCATGT